ATACAAATGGGAAAACATTAGAAGTAGATTTTTAACTATACCATAGAGAGAGTGAAAGTGAAAGCCACAGAGTTGTGAGAACATATTTGCAATAAACAAATCTCACAAAGGACTCATAAAAAATCAAAAATTAGAAAAAAAAATTAGCAAAACAATTGAGCAGGCACTTTATACCAAGGAGCCAGAATCTGGTCATCTAATATGAAATGGTACTCAATTTTACTTACCATCAGAGAAATGCAAGTTATAACCTCAATGTGATACTCATACACATCTTGAGCAGAGCTTAAATAAAAGAATAGAAAATGGCAAGTATTGACAAGGATGTGAAGAAATTAGAATTCTAGTACATCATTTGTGACAATGTAAATTATTACAAATATTTTGGAAAATAATTTACCAGTAACCACTAAAGCTGAACATATCTATAAACTGTTCCACTTTGGGGTATGTCCTAAACATGAATGAATAAATATACTCAAATAAAGACATATCCATAAAAATGCTATTTCTAATGCTAATTTCTAATAGCTAAACACTGCCCAGTAGAAGCAATAAGTAATGTTGTATTCACATTCATGAATCCTATCCAATGAGAATGATATGCACTAATCTCATAAATAAAATGTTGAGTGAAAGTATGGAGTATGATTTATTTTTATTTATTTATTTTCATATTATATTAAAATGGGTTGAATTAATCTGTCAGATACTGATATGTTGGGAAGTGATTAGTAAACAGATACAGCCAAAAGATTATGGGTGAAGGCTTCTAGGATGCTTGTAATGTTTCCTGATTTGAGTGCTGGTTATAAAGATGAGCTTACTTTGTGAGATAGTCTCAAACTATCCACATAAGTCATCTGTATTTACATTGACTCAGACTTCAGTAAAGCATACTGTTTCTTGATTTGGGCACTAGCTTCATGGGTATGCTCATTTTATGAAAAATAATTGACCTACATATATTTGATTAGTGAATTTTAAGACATATTTACTGAACTTCAAAAATGTTTAAAATATAAAATGGAAAAATTAAAAATGGATATATTGCTCTATCTCTGAAATCAGCTATGACTATAGATACACATAAAACTGAAATTGAATAGAAAGAGGATATAAGTCCCTTCTCTGTCAGCTGAAGTAATACTTCTTAAGCCATTTTCCCTGCAAAGATCTTAAATACCTACCTATGCCATTTTTTAATCATTTGTCCTAAAAATATATAATGAATCACTCAGCCATAAAAAAGAAGGACAATGACTTTATGACTTTTGCTGATAAATGGATGGATCTTGAGACTGTCATGCTAAGCAAAATAAGCTAATCTCCAAAAAATCAAAGTTCAAATGTTCTCTCTGATATGCCAAGCTAACACATAATAAGATGGGCAGGGGTGAGATTAGAAGTTCAACGGATTAGACAAAGGGCAATTAAGGGAGGGGAGGAGGGATAAAAATAGGAAAGATGGTAGAATGAATCAGACATAACTTTCCTATGTTCATATATGAAAATACCACTGGTGAAATTCCACATCATATACAACCACAAGAATAGTATCCTATTAGAATAAGTTATACTCCATGAATGTATAATATGTCAAAATACACTCTGCTGTCATGTATATCTAAAAAGAACAAATAAAAAAGGAAAAAATAAAAATATATAATGATTCTGAAAGAATGAGGGAAGGAGTATGAAAAGGGGAGGGGAAGGGAGAGCTTTAACAAATTTGAGAGAATTAGAGATTTACTTTATTCACTGAAAACTTTTTTTTTTTTGGTACTGTGAATGAAACTTAGGGGTACCCGACCACTGAGCCACATCCCCAGCCCTATTTTGTATTTTGTTTAGAGACAGGGTCTCACTGAGTTGCTTAGTGCCTCACTGTTGCCGTGACTGGCTTTTAACTCATGATCCTCCTGTCTCAGCCTCTTGAGCCTCTGGGATTACATGTATGTGCCACCATGCCCAGCCCCCACTGAAAACTTAAAATCTCCCTTTCTCTCTGCTTACCCCTCTCCAGTCCTCTTGAGAATTATTGCTCAAATATTCATGGTCACTTGCCTTTTTTTTTTTTTTTTTGCTTCAATTCTAAATTTAAGATACTAGTATACACAAAATGTTTAATGGAGTTGACCAATAGAGAAAAATTAATCATCAAATAAATAAAACTGAACATAATAACAGGTGTGGTGGCACATGCCTCTAAACCTGGCTTCTTGGGAGATTCAGGTAGGAAAAACATGAATTAGTTTAGGGCCAGTTTAGGCAACTTAACAAGACCCAGTTTCAAAATAAAAATTAAAAGGCCGGAATATAGCTCAATGGCAGGGTGACTTGACTGCCTAGCATGCACCAGGTAGTGGATTTGATCCCTAGTACCCCCTCCACCCCACCACAGACATACAGAGAAAGAAAAAGAAAGAAAAAAACATGAATATCACAGTTGTCATTTCCTGATTATTTCCTGATATATACTGAGAAAAATTTGTGGAGAACTTATCAGACTCTGAAAATCTGTATATATGCCACTGAATAATTATAAACTATAGGCCTAGAACCCAGGGGAATTAAGGTTAAATTTAGCTTTTTTTAATTCCTAACTGGGTTTTTAAAAATTGTGTCTCTCTTAATTTTCAAATCTATAAATGAAAATAATGATTCCTTTTAATAGGATCAACTGCTTTGAATTACTTAGCATTTTATAAATTACTGCATGTACTATGCGTGTTTACTATGAAAACAAATGCAAAGAGCTTTTTTAAAATAAAGTATAGGATCCTAACTAAGCAGAGAAACATTATTTTGTTTATTCCTATAATTTATGATTAGAAATAAAAATATTCATTATCATAACTTAGATTTATGCCTTTTTTGCTCTAATTATGGCAGCATGATTAGAAAGATCCTCATAAGATAAACAAATTAAGGTAGCATGAACTTAAATGTTTATCTTGGGTTTTTTTAATTTAAAGTTTTAAATTATTGTTACAAGTATACTTATTAAGACATGTTTTTTAGCATTTCTAATTTTTTAATACTAGTATTTCAACAAAGCTTGAGTGCTGATTTTATTAATTTTGTTATAGTTAAAATATTCATTTCCTTTACTAAAATCATAAGTGATTTTAAAGGAAAAAATTGTCTTCTTAGAGTCTCATTACAGCTTCTGATCCCTATTTTATTAAACTTTACATTTAAGTTCTAGTATGTTTTCCTTCATTAAGTGTCCTAATATATTTTTATTGCAGAACTAGATTCTCACCTGACTCAAGTATACATCCACTTATATAAATAAAATAAAAATAAATCATGGAGAAACACTTAACATGATAAAAAAAAGCCAATTTCAAAATTTGTCCACATATTTAATAACACAGTTAAACAGGGACCAGAAATCATATTACTGCTTGTCAAAACAAAAATAATTTTTTCCACTTACTGGTTCCTTAATTACTGTTTCATTAACCATTTTTATTTTTCAATTTTCCTTTTGTAAGAAATTTAATAAAAATCAAATAGGTGATCATCACAAAGATTTCTTTTTCATTAACATATTTGAAGGAGAAAATTTTCACTTCTTTTCTGTCTGTACAACCACAAAATAAATTGGATAATGAAGAGTAAACACAAGCAGGAGAAGAGAAAATCTATTAAAGGACAAAGATAAAGGAAAAACCTAATCAAGGGTTTACAACAGAAGAAAGATTCAAGGTCATATTGCATTTTTTAAATTAAATTTATTTTAACTGGTACAGAGAAACACAAAAAATGTTCATATTAATAAGTATGATGTCATGTTTCAGTATATATATATATATATATATATATATATATATATATTACAATGTTTAAATCAGGTTAAACACATTATCTTCTGAAACATTTGTCATTTCTTTATGGTACAAAATTTCAAAATATTTTCTTCTAGATTTTTGAAATGTACAGTGCATTACAATTATCTATAGTCACTCTACTGTGCAACAACACACCAGAAATTCTTGCTTTGATTACCCCCTGGGAGACTAGAAAGAAGGAAAAGAATTGTGCTTACTTGTAAGAAAGGGAAGGTTTCTGGGAGCTGTCCAATGTACTGAGTGAACTTCATGGCCACAGTTTACCCCCTTAATAGGGGCTGCTGTCCTCGTTGGTTCTCTCTGAAACTAGGGTGCTTCTGTAATCAGGGTTCAAGCTATTTCTTCTAAGTCACCTTTGATATTATTTTCCAAAGTGTTGCTCTGCCCCGCTTGGCTTTTTAAATATGTTTACAAGGAATAATTAACCATAGCTATTGGCAAACAAAGAAGGGGGGAAAGCCTTTCTTTATTAAAATTAGGGATTTTATGAAACTAGTAAAATTTTATTTTAATCATACTAAATTTAAAATTTTTTCTCAAAAAGAAAATATCTAAAGACAGCCAATAAATTTCCTGAAGCAGAATTCACTAAGGTATAGTTTCCACTCTTAAAACCTACTTGTAGACGGAACCAAACAAATGGATGAAAATAAGCCCAATAAGAGTGTCAGGATTTTTCTTTGTTCACAAGTAAATACTTGATCAGCAATTTAAAAGTCCAAAGACTTCTCAGCAGAGGGGTGAGCTGATCTACCCTTTGGCTTAACCAAAGATAAATCGTACTTTTGAAAGGAGATTGAAGTAGTTTTGTTGGGGGGTGGGGGGGGGGTGGCGGAGGGTTTGCTTTGTCCCCAACGCTGACAATTATACAGCCGGACTAGAGAAAAATTTGCGAACTACCATTTTTCATTTTGTTGTCATGATAACTTTTTCCCTGTAATAAAATATCCACGTGAGTGGAAGATGAGGGTAGGGAAAGGAAAGTCAAGTATCTCAATTGTTAGGCTGATTGCTACAAACAGACATTTAGAAGTCAGGGTTTGTAACCACGCAGCAGAGTTGTTTGAGATGCCCTAGAAGGAAAAAAAAAAAAAAAAAAGAAAGCCGGTTCCAACAGCGACTCTGGGGAATGTGCTCTAGGCCCCCCCTGCCATGCTTACTTAAGCTAATGGAAGGTCTTGCCTTTCAGCAGCCGCTGCACTGGGATACCAGACAAACAGCTCCCCTCGACCCCTGGCAGGAAGGGCCCCTCTTCAGGATGGGCCCCTCTTCAGGACATCATTAAAAGCACATGCACTTGCTTCACATCCATTGGCAGATGGTGGCAAGATTCAGGACTTCTACCCTGACGCCAAGGAGAAACCATCGCGCTGGAAAATACCTTCGCTTTGAAAATCCAAATCGAAATTAAAGAACTACATGAGATAAGGAGCCTGGAGAACATTAGTTGGCTGCGGGGGTGAAGACAGACACAAAAAGCACACAGCAGGTAAGAACTGGGGTTTGTTGCCAAGAAGGAACTGTCCGCGTGGCGCAGCGAAAAGATCTCAGAAGTGGAGGCCTTTCCTTCTGCGCCCTCCAGGCGTACTCAAGCTTGTCTTCCTTCATCAGCTTCCAGAGGAGGGACGTTGTCAGAGTCTCCCCAATCGGGGCGACTAATCCTGTTATCAGCTTGGTAATAAATATTAATGTCCCCCAGCCAGCCGGTGATGGTGTTCCATCAGACCCAAGGCTGTTAAGAAGCCCCATCAGCAGCTTCGCCCCTCTCTGCGAAAAATCGATGAGACGCAGGGCCAAGTTGAAGCGATGGCGGCCTATCCCGAGAGCTGCGTGGACGCCTCTGTGCTGGACTTCGTCGCAGACCTGTCCCTGGCCTCCCCGAGACACCCTCTCCTTTGCGACTTTTCGCCCTGCGTCCCCTTTGGGGACCCGGCACTTGAGCTCCGAGAGGGAAGGCCCAGGAGGCTGGCGCAGTTTGAGGAGGGGACCCCGGAAGAAGAGGATTGCGAAGTAGATGAAGGGGATGGGGACGAAGAGGAGGAGGAAGAGGAGGGACGCGGGAGAGGACCCTCGATACTAGGCCGCCCCAAGAGGAAAAGGGTGATCACCTATGCCCAGCGCCAGGCCGCCAACATCCGCGAGAGAAAGCGGATGTTCAACCTCAATGAAGCCTTTGACCAGCTGCGGAGGAAGGTGCCCACTTTTGCTTACGAGAAGAGGCTGTCTCGGATCGAGACCCTACGCCTGGCCATCGTCTACATCTCCTTCATGACTGAGCTCTTGGAGAGCTGCGAGAAGAAGGAAACCGGCTGAGCCGGGTGGGATGGGGGTCATCTGCCCCCTCCTCCCCTGAGCGCGCGTGGGTCTGGGGTGTTTCAGGACCTAGCAGTGAGTGTCGCTGAAAGGCAAGTAGGGACGCCCCAAGACAGAACGGCTGACCTTCCGAAGATCAGGTTCAGTATTGTAAAATCCCCACAGCCCTCGGGAAGTGTGGCAGCTGTAGAGTTAATATACATGCGGTCGCCCTCAAAGGAATGGAGATTAGGGGCCAGAGGGCTGTTAACTAGGAGTCTGGACTGTGTGAGGCTCAAGCCCAGCATCTTCTGAGGGCTGAGTGGGTGGAAAGTTCACCTTCTCAAACGACAGAGTTCAGAGCTTCTATGGAGTACAATCTTTCCTCCTTTTTTAAATAGAAATAAAAAAAAAATCTTACTTTTTAATTTTTAAATTTTTTTTTTAAAGACTCAAGAGTCGGGGCTGAACCATCCCCTACAGGAGGTCCTGTCTGGCTTGCGCTGGTGGGCACAGAACCACTAGGGGTGCGATGGTGCTGAGTTTTCTGATTAGTCAAGGGGTCTCGACCTCCCATGGGGTGGACAACGTGCAACAAGTGCACCAACCTCTGAGAAAGAATCATTCTCTCTCCTCTCTCCTCTCTCTTCATTCGCCCTTCTCCCTCCGGTCTCCACCTGACTAGGGTGATCGTAGAGAAGCTGCCATTCTGATATTCCCAGAGAGACCTTAGCTCACAGCAAGGCAGCACGTAGCCAGATCACAGTGGCGTTTACTCTGCGCCTTAGCTCGCGTGCAGATCGCCGCATTGGCAGAAACAATAACCTTCTTTGTGACACTTCCGGCCCTGCTTGCGAGAGGTGGGCTGGCGGTACTTCTGGCGCTAAAGCTCGGGACTCTTCTCCACCTGTAGGAGGCCCTGAGCGCGCCCACGCCCTAACCGCCCTTGCGCTTCCAAATTTCGCTGCTCTCAAAGGGCTTGGGTCTTTCTAGGAGCTATGATGCCCGAACGCACTTAAATATCTTCAGCTGTTGGGAAAGGGAATTGCTTTCATTTTAAGGGTCTCCACGGAGGCGAATAGTTAAAGGAGGAGATACATTTTGACACTGCAAAATGCTTGCGATGGAAAAGAGATTGAAGCAGGTTCACTGCTGAGAGGCGCCTCCAGTTGAACCCTTTGTCACTCCACAATTCTTCCTTCTTTGTGATTTGCTAGCACCTGAACTGGGGGTTTTAAGAAAGGAGAGGTTAAGTGAAGAGAGGAACTGGAGCAATGATGCCCCGTTAGCTGTAAATTCACTGCTCCTAAAGAATAAACCCCCAATGGTTTATTCTAGCACTTCTTTTTGTCTTTCATTGCGCATAGGCATATTCAGGTGTGGAAGCACACATAGATAATTCTCTATCACACGTTTAAGATACTTCATATAATAGAATTCGTGTTATGAAGATGCAACATATACGTGTTCTGGAAAATTTGTGAAACAAAAGTTCAAAAAAGAAAATTTGAATCATCCCACACTAAAACACTGTCAGTATTTTCATCTGTTTTCTTCTAGTCAATGTCTCTCCCTCCCGCCCCCCCCTCCGCCCTCCCCCTTGCCCCCTCCATCCGATGTACTGATAGATTCAATGCATTTAACAAATACTGACTTTATTTTCACCTGGCATTATAGAATGAGCACTTTTCCCTTGACTTTATTATTCAAACATGATTTTGATTACCGTATTGTATTGTCATGTGGATGTATCACAACTTAATCCAAATCCTTTACAGTTGGGTAGCTAAGACATTTCCTTTCAAAAAGTACATTAGGCCACAAAAAGTGTTCCTATAAATGCTTCTTCTTCATAATTTTCTAATATTAGATTCCTAGAGCTGAAATCTCTGGGTAAAATGAACATACAGGTTTGTGAACACAAATGGCCAGAATTGCTTTCGCCAGTTCACACTCCATCCAACCAGCACAACAAGGATTTTTCCTGTCCCCCAGCCCCTTTGTCAGTACTTACAGCCCTTGAAACTTTTCCCATTTCTCCTTAACATAGGAACTGGATTAGTTCTGAAATGAGCCCCTTCACCTCCACCCCCCCCCCTTTTTTAACTCTCTCTTTCCACTAGGATTCTTTTCACCTCTGCTATAAACACATCGGAACAAACAGGTAAGAGAAAAAAATATAAACACTAAATTAACCAAACAATAACAAAACCAGGAAATTAATTATTTTCTAATTCTCTATCTCTAGCACTTTCATTGAGAAAAACTGAGATTTGGAAAATGACCTATTTATCTGTTTTATGAAGTAAAATTGTTTGTTTTCCTCTTCTTTCTCTCGACAACGTTTTAGTTACCTAGATGATTATATTCGTATCTTTTAAGATACATTTAAAATTACTCATTTTGATACATGAAACAAAAATAGTTATTTCCCAATCCAAGCAGTATTCTGTTCCCCAACTCCTCATAATCTCTAGTGGCTCCATCAAAACCCTACATTAATTTACCCAGTTGTCTATTCGTTCAATCAAGTATTAACTTTTTATAGATAGTGTGGATGGTTTCAAAATTGAAAAGCCTTCCTTCAAGTTCTTCTGGAAATTAAGCATCATTTTTTGAATATCTGCAAATGTTGAATAAGTAAAAAGATATGGGGATTCAATTCTTGGAGTCCTTAATATTTTGTTGGAAGAACCAGTTTTGAAAATCAGAAATAACACAGAACTAGGTAGACAAGGGACCAAGCATCACTGGGTCCTGAAAAGTAAATGCAGCCATTCATTTTCCTTATTCCTCTTCCTCATATTTCATCTTACTGTTATGATCTGAGTAAGCACATAATATTCCTATAGTGAATGCCTCTTCGGCATAGTAAATAATATCTAATGAACTTCTAAATGGAAAGGTATTACTCTATTATCTTTGTTGTCACTAAAAAACTACATTCACTGTTCTTATAACTGTTAGATTTTACAAATTCTTTGCTTTTTGTAAGTTTTTACAAGTCCCAGAATGTGATATCTTTTAAGTCATTATCATAATCATTCTACCACTAAAATAATTTGAAGCCTAGTAAGGATCAGAAACACAGAGAAATTAATTGATTTTTATTATTTACACCAAATCATCAATAGAAATAGAATGAAATGATCCACATCCCAACATTAAATCTGATGCACCACCATATTTTCACACAACTTTTCTAACCAGTGTTTTGTTTCAGTTCTCCCTATGGTAGGTCCATGTAATCAGTGTGCTTTGTAATAAAAACTTTTTTTTATAATACAGCACATGCTAAGTTAAAATTGGTTGTTGGTTTACTCTTTATAATTGTTTTAGTCAATATTGATGGAAACATCAGTATACATTGACTTTTTAATAATTTCTACCATTTTTTAATCCTAATGGTGTCAGTTACTTTAAAAAATTATAATTGGTTCTTGAAATCTCAAAGTTACTTGAACATTTAGAATCTACATTTTTAGATGTTGCTTGGAGGCAATTTATTCTCTCTCTCTCTCTCTCTCTCTCTCTCTCTCTCTCTCTCTCTCTCTCTTCACTAAAAACTGCCTTTTGGTTTCAAACTAAGTTCCACATAACTCTCAGGTTACTATTAGTATTCAGACATGCAAACCATGAAAAGATATAAATGAAATCATATTTGAAAGGTATAATTAAACTTTTCAAAGAAAGCAAAATATATCAGAAGCTTTTTCATTAACAGGGAGCCACTCAGACTGATTATCTTCTACAGTTAGTTGCCCAATTTGAAAGCAGATCTGGGAAAAATTAGTGTTGGAAGTTCAGCCAAATATTCTGCTAGTATGCATGATTCCTGAATGAACATACAATTAAGGCCTGTAGGTTGGTGTTCATTATCACACTTGTCAGCATTCCCATTATAAAACACTCTGTGGAATTATGACATGGTTATCAAAATTGTGAGATGAATCTTGGTGAGCAAAATTTTAGGATATATTTTCTTCTTGATTACAAATCTTCAAAAGAAACTTCAAGCAGAACGAAGCCACAAGTACATTTTACAGTTCCAAAATGTACCTGTAACTTTAAAAACAAGAGGATTCATTTAATACAAATTAGATAATTATTTTGTTTTCATTAAAAAAACTAGTAGATAAATACTGAATATTAAATATTAAGCTGACTTCTTCAGATTGGTATTATTCATTAAATTGTGTTTCAAATGTTTTTCTATAAGTGGTGAAGTTTTGCTATATATCTTATAGCTTGGCTTAAATTCACTCAAAGATTTCTGAACTTTGCCAACATTTTGGGTGAAGTTAGGCCCAAGTTCTGGTCAGCACCATCTCTTCCTGTGAATATTGGCCTAAAAAAAGGTTACAAAACAAGAGTCAGCAGTTCTGACCATTTTGTTTTGACTTTGGGGTTTCTTTGAATCCAAAGCTCAAAACCAAACCTGGCGGAGAAGGAGAAGGAAAGGAAAGTAGCAATGCAAACTGACAGGAATAAAATACCAGAAAGATGGAAAAACTTCTGCAAGTCTCTATAAACCAAAGCCTATAACTTTATGACACCAAATTTTTCATTATGTGACTAGAACACATTCCTTAGAGGAGTAAAAGAAAATGCAAAGAAAAGCATAGATATATTTTAAAACATTATTCATGACTGATACTTGGTAAAATATCATCCTTTATTTGGCAGAAAGCAATGAACTTTAAATATTTGGTAAAATCAAAAATTGGAAAAATAAGACTGATAGAAATCATTATAATAAAATGCCTTATATTTCTTAGTGCTTATTTTAAAAATACCATCCACTTAGCTTCTCTAATTTGATCTTCTTCATTGAATTTCCATAAGATCTAGAAACTCTCAATTAAATTGAATCATCCATGTGCCATCTTACACATTCTTTCTCTCATCATTGAAAACAGCATGATGCTGAGCTTCCTAAAAGAGGACTGATGGTCACATATAAGCACACATCACTTTGAAAGATATTGCCTTCAAAGATCAAAAGCACCTTAACACGTTCTGCGGATGATAAATTATACAAAAGGCTGGTAGGGTCTGGCTTCCTTAAAGGCCAGATTTTACAACTTTCTATTCAGGGCTCTGTGAAGGAGATTTCCACCTGCAGCCAACAAATGTAGATGACCTCAAAGCAGCTGTGATGGACAGGTTTGGGGTTTTTTTTTGGTTTTTTTTTTTTTTTTTTTTTTTTTGGTAATATATATGATTTCCAATCTTCAAAAGGGAAGAAAATGCCTATGAAAATATGGAAATAGATCAGACAATTGGTGAACAATAGAACACAAAAATATCATGTGTTCAAATGACCGAATGGATGATCACACTCTTAGTATACTGCAGATAATTTTGTATCTTCTTCCAGTAGTAGTAAAATCCCAAATATATTTGTTACTGGTCAAACCTTGAAGTGGTAAACTATATCAGTTCCCAGAGTTTAGTGAAATGTTGATGAA